GTAGTGAGGATAAAAAATGAATAGGCTTTTTTTTCTCTCTCTCTCTCTCTCTTTCGTCGATTTGTGGGATGTTAGTTGGTGTCTTTAACTTTTTTTTTATATTATTATTATTATTATTTGACTTTTCGTTTTTATCTTTATTGTTCGTTGGTTTTGGGAGCTGTTTGGTGTCGTTTATTAATTTGAATGTTTGTCTTTTTCTCGTTTTTTTTTTGGTTTGTTTATTTGTTTAATTGTTATTCTTTGATAATCTTAAAACTTTTTAGTTCTTCATTTATTCTTATTTTAGTTATTTCCGTATTTTTTCATTTTAATTCTGTTGTTTTTTATTGTTATTTTATTTAACTTGTTTATTTATGTGCTATTATGTTTATTTGTCTTCTTTGATAATCATAAAACGTCTTAATGTCTCCTTCATTTTCGTTATTATTATTTCCGTCATTTTTCATGTTTACGATCATGTCATTCTCGTTGTAACGTAAGGTTTTCGCTTTCCCAGTATTTTTATTCGTATTTTCTTCTCTCGTCCCGAATACGACACCGCTGTTGCTTTGGGAGAAGTCAGGGAAACTATATATAGAAACCTTGAGTCGTGAAGCGGATGTAAAGTACGGTAATGTGGACATAAACAATTTTACAAGCAGCTGTTAGAGGGGGTTAGTTTTTTATTTTTCATTTTGTTTTAGTTTCCCTTCGTTTCTTTACTGGGCGTTCCGTTTTCTGTGGTGTTTGTGAGTCTCCCGTTTTCTGTGATGGAAGGGGTGGGGGAGGAATAGGGAGAGAAAGAGATAAAAGGCAAGTAGATAGCTGTCAAACAGATAGATAAATAGAGAGAGAATAGGCATGAGTTTTATAATTCTGTTGTTTTTCCTCCTCTTTCTCCTTTTCCTCATTTCTTTTTTCTTTTTTTCCTCTTCCCCCTCGTAAACCTCTGCCGTCTTATTCTTCTTATTTTTATCCTCCTCGTCCTTATTCTTCTTATTTTTATCCTCCTCCTCCTCCTCCTCCTCCTCCTCCTCCTCCTCCTCCTCCTCCTCTCATCTACTCTTCCTCTTCTTCTTCTTCTCATCTACTCCTCCTCCTCCTCCTCCTCTTATCTACTGTTCCTCTTGTTCCTCCTCTCATCTACTCTTCCTCTTCTTCTTCTTCTCATCTACTCCTCCTCCTCCTCCACTTCCTCCTCCTCCTACTCCTCCTCCTCCTCCTCCTCCTCCTCCTCCTCCTCCTCCTCCTCCTCCTCCTCCTCCTCCTCCTCCTCTTATCTACTCTTCCTCTTGTTCCTCCTCCTCCTCCTCCACCCTCCCCTCGCCCTACCCCCCTTCTGCCCCCACCGGAGACCCATTCCTCCCTTCCCCCCAAGGACCTCCCCACCCCGCCACACCCCCACCAGTAGGAGGAGGACAAGGAGGAAGAGGAGAAGGAGGAGGAGAAGGAGAAGGAATAGATGAGAGGAAGAAAAAGAGTAGATGAGAGGGGGAGGAGGAAGAGGAGGAGAAGGAGGAGGAGGAGGTGGAGGAGAATGAGGAAGGATGATGAGAAGGAGGAGCCCTTGAAAGCCCCAAGGAGAGGGTGCGACCTCGCCTTCTACAGGATCCCCGCGATTGGCCTCCGTCGTCTCTATTTGATGATGAGTCTTAATGCGCTCTGGTGGAGGATTAAGGAAGGAGGGGGAGAGGGGGCATGGGGAAGGGGAAGGAGAGGGAGAAGGGGAAGGGGAAGAGGAAGAGGAGAGGGGGCAGGGGGATGGGGTGGGAGAAGGGGCATGGGAGGAAGGGAAAGGAGAGGAGGGAGAGGGGGCAGGGGGAAAGGGAAAAGGAGAGGGAGAGGGGGCATGGGGAAGGACTGGAAGAGGGGGAAGGGGGAAGGGGTGGAAGAGAGGGCAGGAGGAAGGGGTGTGGGAAAAGGGGGGTGGGAGAAGGGGAAGGGAAAGGGGAGAAGAAGGAAAGGGGGAAGAGGGGGGAGTGGGAAAGTAAGAGAAAAGAGGAAGGGGGGGAGGGGTAAGGGTGAGAGAAGGGGGAAGGGGGCGTGGTAAGAAGGAAAATAGGAGAAAATAGGCAAATGGGGAAGGGGATTGATGGGGGGGAGGGAAAGAGAGAGGAATTGAACGTGCAGGTTGATGGTTATATTGTCTTTAGATCTTTTATTTATTTTTATTATTATTATTATTATTAATATTATTATTATTATTATTATTATTATTATTATTATTATTATTATTATCATCATTATTATTATTATTTTTGTGATGTGGTTGCTTTGTGGTTGTATGGTAATGAGCGAGTTGTGATGTGATAGATGCAAAGATTTTTTTCCTCAAGAAGACAAGTTGGCGAAAAAGGAAATTATGTATTTCACGTATATTTTGCGTAGTTTTTTTTCACGCATACAGAAAAATCACTGGAAAAATATGTATTTTTCGTATACACAGATTAATGGCCGAAAAATGTAAGCGTAAAACGGATAAAAAGGCAACAAATGTTTTATAAAAATCACCGAAAAT